CATCATCCATCAAATAATAACAATGTCTCATTTCTGTAATGTGAATTAAATGAGAAGAACTCTGAGAAGACTGAGCATCTGCTTGTAAAATATTTGTCTTAAAAGGAAGACATCCTGCCAGTCTAATCTAGGCTCTGTCAAACATCTATTCAAGTTACTGTGGCATAAAGAAAAAGTGATCAATGCTGTCACTGTTCCTGAGTGTAGTCTTGGGAAGTGCCATGCCTAGTGGTTAAAGCCATGGCCTTTTGCATGACCTAGCTACAGACTGAGATCTGGAATTTGAATAACACACCTCCAAGGAAGATATGCGGATGCACAAAGAGCACACAGAGAGCATAAAGATTTGAGTTCTTAGGAACATACAAATGAAAACCAAAGTGAGATATCACTTAACACTCACAAGGATGGCTAAGGAGGGAAAATAACAGATGCTGTGAAGAACAGCTGAGGCAATATTTGGAAGCCTTATACTTTGTTGGTTGGATTATGAAATTGTTCACTCATTCTGGAAAAAATAGCTTGTCAACCCCTCAAAAAGTTAAAAAAAAAAGTTATTAGATAACCCAGAATTCTACTCTTAGGTATAACCCAAAAATATTTTAAAATACATTCATGGGCCTGACACAATGGCTCAACTGCTTATCCTCCCCATTCAGGTGCTGGGATTCTATATGGGCACTAGTTCATGTCCTGGCTGCGTCACTTCCCATTCAGCATCCTGTGTGTGGTTTAGGAAAGCGATGGAGGATGACCCACATCCTTGGGACCCTGCACTCATTTGGGAGACCCAGAATAAACTCCTGGCTCCTGCCTTCAGGTTGGCTTACCTCTGGTCATTGCAGCCACATGGGGAGTGAACCAGCAGATGAAGGATTTTTCTCTTTGTCTCTCCTTCTCTCTGTAAATTATGCCTTTTTCAGTAAAAATAAATAAACCTTTAAAAATACATTCACTTCAGAATGATTATATGAATATTCATAGCAGCAATCCTCATAGCAGTCTAAAACAGAAGCAGTATAAATGCCCAGCATCTATGGCAGTATGATTGCACAATAGAGTACTATTTAGAAGAATAAATTGATACTGACACAGTGAAGCTCAAAGATGTTGTTGAGTAAAATATGCTAGGCATGCACACACAAAATCCATCCTAACGGTCTAAAATGTCTAGAATTGGAAACTCCATGGAGAGAGCAAGCGGTTAAGTGGTTGATTAGTGCTAGAGGGAGTGAGTGAATGGGGAATGACAGCTAATAAGCACAGTGCTGTTTTTTTGTGGGGGGGTGATGAAACATTACAAAATTAAGTGGCATATTTAAGTCTTTTTACTAAGACCACTAAACTGTATGCTTTAAAAAGGTGAATTTTGTGATATGTAAATTATATCTCAGTAAAGCATTTATTTAAAAATTTATACTCTATTTAGTAAAATAAGCTTATCCCCCAAAAGCAATGATATGTTTTGTAAAATGTGATAGTAATATAACACAAACATACGTACAGTAAAATGAACATTTTGTACTGATGTTTGTCCTTTTCAGCCCTTGTTTATACTCCTGTGAAAAATGTAGTCTTGTATTTCTTACTTATTGAGTAGTATAGTTGCTAGAAAATTAACCCTGTACAAGTATAATGAGTTAAAAATATACCTTTGAAAAAACTGATGAGGAGAGGAGAAGCAGAAGCGGGGATACAGAGTGGAAGAGGAGCAAGGGAGGTGTGGTTGTTTTATTGGATGCACAAACTGTGTTCTCTTTATAATATTAAAATTTTTTTTTATTTTTAAAATCTATGCTTTGATGTTAACATATTTGGCTTTGGAGGTGTTTTCTGTAAAACAGTGCTTGTTATGGAGCCTGATGTTAAGAGCAGATGTGGAAATTACAGGACATTGAAAGAGAAATTTCTTGGAAAACCCATGGCATTGTAACTGACATTGTAAGGGCCTCAGAAATAGTGATCAGTTTATGATTTGTCTTTATTAAACACATGGTTTTTCATTGGTCTGTTCTAAAAAGTAGGATCATGGATGCCTTTAGCAAACTAGGCTGGGGTTCATGATAACTAAGGATACATGAATTTTGACCCTATTCCTTACATCCTCAATTTGTGGATACCTTGGTTGGATTTGTAATCTTTTGGTTGTGGCATCTGTTATTTATTTCTTAACTAATATAGCTGAGACGTTACTCAGGATGTGCTCATGAAAAATTGCCCTTTTAATGGTGGAGTATTTAATGAGAATCTAGATTATCTACTGCATAAGTGCCCTTCACACAAATTAGCTTGGCCCTGGGTCCTAAGCTAAATCGAGCTCCCTGATTTCCCCTAAATGGACTAATATTTTCTTATTAATCTCTGCCCTTATTCACCTGATCTGGTTCTGCCCCCTCTTATGAATCTTCCTCATTGTCAGATTTCTGTGCCCTGACAAATGTTTCTTAAGGCTGTCTCTGTGTGACTCACTAGACAATGAATGGTGTCTAGAAGCCATTGGGTCCATTTTCAAGTTTTTGCTCCATCCCCTAAGGGGAATTCTAATGCTGACATTGCATTCAGTTTTAGCAGACGTGGGCCAGTTTAGTTTTAGCACATCAAAGTGAAGTTTCATGCAGCAGTTGGACGAATGAGAAGCAGTTATGCACAGTGGTTAAGAGAGCAAGCTTGCATGCACAAAAGACATGCAAGCCACTGAAAGGCTCTGGCATCAAAACTATCAGAAATATCCTACTCAATGCATAGGGGCGACTTTTGTGGCCTCTTACATCCTCAATTTCAATCTTTATCTGTGAAAACTGTATAATAAACAGTACATACCTCTAATATTTTTGTGGGCTAAACAAGTTGATGCATACATTATGCTTTGTGATAAAGGTTACCTGGCATTGCTACAATAGATTGTCTAGGGGAATTGTAGTAATTAAAGGAATGATACTAGTTACTGGGTACTTAGTGACCAAATATGTTGAGGAGATTAAAGAATGGCACTTGAAATAGCGTAGGGTAACATATTTAGAAAATCCTAGAAGCAGCCTAGATCACTTGTACTGAACACTGCATGCTTACAGAGAGAGAGAGAGAGATGATCAAGGGCCTGGTTGTTTAGCTAGGTATTTATACGTAAGATTTATCATGATGCATGTTCTCTTTGTTCTTAGCTGTTGTCTGTGATATCTGCCTTCTCAGAGCCCCAAAATTTAATTTTTACAATAATTATTGTTTCTGAGCAGTCACTTATGCATTCTATTAGCTTTATGGGATGTTATTAAAAGGCTTTGCTGTGCTAGAACTCACAAGGATCCAGTGAAAAAGAACACAGATTGGGACAAAGGAGCCGGATGTCCAAGACTGACATTGTAGGCATTCTTTCTCTGCCTCTCACCTCCCAGAACATATAAACTTTGTATAGTGAGAACAGTGTCAATTACAACCACTTGTAGAAAACTTACCATATTATCTCACCAAACTTACTCTTGATCCTGGATCTCTAAAGTAGATGCTTTGCCATCACTCAATAGATGAGGAAGTTAGGCTCTGAAGAATTTTTCTTATAAGCAAAGGCACGATAGTTTGAAATGAAGCTATCTCATTCTAAACCTTGAACCTTCTTATAAACCTACTATAATGTACAATACAGTTTTATTTACAGTCATGAAAACTTGAGCTTGTAAGGGTACAGACTTTGTCTACTTTTTCTCTTGCCCATAAGCATGTGGCACAAATAACAAACTTCGTAAGGGCTGATTGAATAAATGAATGAAATGGAAATCTTGCATTGTCAATAGAAAAGCACTTTGCCATCCTTAGCTATTGCTGATGTGCTTTCTATTTTAAGCACAATCTTAGGTAATTCTCAGCCTCACAGTAAAGAAAAGCCTTATTTTACACATCAAATAGATGAAAGGAAATGAGCTGAATTATCTCTAATATGCTCAGCTGTAAGTTTCTGATGAATGAGGAAAGATATGAAAGAGAAGAAATCAGGAGTTAATGGTCTTAATGTTCTGAGAGATGAATGTTAGAAGGCCAGTACGTTCTGGTTTTAAGGCATGTGTGCAATAGCCAGCCCTCTAAGTGAGTGAAGCGTGATGAGGGCAGAGAGGATTTGAATTCCTGCATACCCGTCTTATCTATGTCTTATTGTGTAGACTCGCAGTGGCTACCTGAATGCTGTGAGCCTCATTTTCATCATCTGAAAAGTGGGGATAAAACACACAAAACATTCCATTTAAAGCGTTTGATAAGTTCACAGTACCTTTAATATCCTTACATTAAAATGGGTATGATTGAATTTTTGGTTATATCTTAGCAAACTGTCATGTTAACATTGAGAGAGTCTGTTACAACATGTGGTCACCAACTTCCAAGTGTTTTGGAAGCCTATTTCCCTAAACACGTGCGTTATTAGAAAAGATATCATAAAATCATTTTTGGTAATTATCTCAGGGTTATTACTTGATACAAAATAATTAATCTGGAGTACGACTATAAAACAATTGATGGCCTTGGGTGTCAGAAGTGTCTTGGACCCTGTCCAAGGTATTGTTAAATATCTGAAACATAGGAGAGTCAGTTCTAATACTGATCTACAGGAACTTGGATCTGAACTCTTAGTGAGTGATTATCATTAGTTGAATGAGTACCAAAAACTGAATTAAATGCTTTGTGCATATTACCTGATTTATTTATGTTACTGCAGCATTGGGGTGATTATTTTTTTAATTTTCTTTTTATACCCGAGGAAACTGAGGCTCAGAAACAAGAAATATTTACCTTACGATTTAAATTCTTAGAGTGTATATCTAGATGTATTATGGTTAATTTTTTTCCCTGGGTCCAGTGATTTTTCTTTCTTCAAAGGTAGGTGAAATCAGAAAGCAAATAGTGGAACTGTAAATAGCGTAGGGTAACATATTTAGAAATGTGGAACTGTAGCTACTTAAATTCAATAGGAACTAAACAACTTCCTGCCTGAATCTGTTTTTCTCTGATTTTAGGACAGGATCGCAGTGAAGCCACTTTGATAAAGAGGTTTAAAGGTGAAGGGGTCCGGTACAAAGCCAAACTGATCGGGATAGATGAAGTGTCCGCAGCTCGGGGAGACAAGTTATGTCAAGACTCCATGATGAAACTCAAGGTACTGTCCAATCACTGTGTGTTCAATGTCTTGGATTAAATATGAATGAGGGAAAGAAATGATTCTCATCCTTGTGGTAAATACTCCTTTATTATTTAATCACTTGACTCACATGAATCACTATATTTATGCATTGGTAACAGCATCTATTGCTATGAAATATTTTGCTAAGCCTTTTTTAAAAAGTTATGAGTGCATCCTATCTTATTCACTTTTATCTTCATTTCTTAACACGTGCGGAAATGAAACTACAAATTTCATAGGTTGTTTAGTCACTCATTTCATGAAAATTTTGACCATCTTTTCATTTTTAACTGATTTTTTTTGAGTCTGACATATGGTGAAAGATGTTAGGTAAAGGCTGATTTAATTCATCCTTACACAGTCAACCAATGCCAGATCAACATATTCAGAAAAAAATGCATTTATCCTGAGCATGTAAATAATTTTCTCTTGCCATTGTTCCTTTAAAATTAATTATAACAGTAGTTCATGCAGCATTTGCATTGCATTAGGTATGATAAATAGCCTTGAAATGGCTTAAAGTATATGTGAGGTGCATGTAGAGTTTTTGTGTGTGTATATGTGTGTGTGTGTGTAAGTATATGCCATTTCATGGTACGGAGTCGAACATCCATGATTTGTATCTCCAAAACTTTAAGCACCATTGTGGAAGCAAAGGGACCACTGTACCTTCTTTAAATGCACCCCTACCCCATCTGGTATCATAAAGGGAAAAAGTTTTGAAGTATTATGTAACTGTATATGTTATATACAGCTGTCACAAAGAGGTTTCTTATTTTAACATTTTTAATCAAAAGATCTGAAATAAATTGAAAAATGAAGTGTTTATAATAACAGTTATTCCAAGACTTTAAAATATATAAAAGAAAATATGATTTTCTCTGAGATTTTGCTCTTCATATATGTGTTTATTTTTAAAGTAATGTGAAATATTTGAAAACCAAATCATTTAGTAAGAAAGTTACAGATGTCTTACACATTTAAAGCAAATATGATTTTTTTGATTATAGCCTTTATGTATATTATTTATAAAATTTTGAAAGTACATGCTAAACTAGTAAAATAATGTACAAAAAACCCAAATCAATATCAATATTTTTGTCCACAATTTACAGTGTTTCTTTGTTTTTCTCTGTGTAATATATGAATTATACCTCATATATAATAAACTTGGAAATCCATTTTATATAGCTTCTTTATATAGCTTTTCCCTCCCATCATTTGTAAATACAAATCAGCATCTTTTCATACCTCCAGATAGTCCATGAAAAATCAGCTTCATTAGTGAGATATTTTTAAATGTAAGGGGAAAAAAAGTAAGTGGAAAAGGAAACCCAGATTTGGCCAAGAGCCTGGAAGCATTCAGTGAGGTAAATCTGCAGAAAGGTTTCTGCATGATCTCTTCATTCATAGATGCTTCATAAATCACACTGTTGTTTTTGTTTATGCAATCCAAATTTTCTAAGCCGTTTAATGTATACATTAGATACCAGATATCCTTGCACTGTTGCTCTAGGAATAAGGATTTTTTTAACTCTTAATTTTACACACTGTACATCCATTACTTTTATTTTAAGCTGCTAAGTGAACTTCAGTAGTTACATATATATTGATAATTTTACTGGAAATTTCCATTTTGGAGTACCTGGATTTGACTTCCAGCTCTGGTTTCTGATTCTAGCTTTGGGTTAATGTAGACCCTAGGGAAACAGGTGATGTCTGAAGAAATTTGATTCCTACACCCAGATGAGAGATTCGTATTGCATGCTGGCTACTGCCTTTAACCATTCAACCATGTAGGCATTTTGAAAGTAAACCAGTGGATGAGCTCCCTTGTTCTCTCCCCCTCTGTCTCCTCTTCCCCTCTACCTCCCAAAAAGACACCAAAATCTTGACTCCACAAATTATCTTCTTGGAAGAGATTAATGGATTTTTAATTTTCAAGTTGAGAAATGTTATAAAAGGGTAATCCAATAATGATCTCTTCATCTCCCAAATTTAAAGTGAATGATCAATGGATGAAAGAGTTGTACAGGAAGATTTCTTAATTTCAGCTTTGTACCTGACTCAGAGCACATGACATAGACAGATAGCTGGAGTGGCCAAACCTGAATGACACAGGTGGTTCCCTAGCATTGGTGAAAGAGTTCCATAGCCACAGTCCTCCTTGCTTCCCCGAATCTCTGCTCTGCCCCAGAATAGACTCAGATTGGTACATGAAATCTGACCAGAACACAAGTCAGCCCACCGGCAGATTGCCAAGATAGCCAAGAAATAGTGAATCTTATGTCATCCCCATCATCCAAATCCCCAGAGTTAATGCCTCAAGGGACCCTGGATGAGCTTGGGGTAAAGACCGGGACCATGAGTTTTGCTGAAGTCCCTTTTGCTGAATATGAAATAGGAAAATGGAGATTTGCTCCCCCCTAAAAAAAAACTTTGAGTGGAAGATTCAAGAAAATGCCTTAGTTAACCTTTTATATGCAAAGACCTGGTCTTATCCTGTGCCACAAGTTTGCTAAACAAAAGAGCTCAGGCACCCTGCTTGTCTAGCATTGACAAGAGCCATTTTCCAGGCCTGTGCAGGTACACCTGCTTTTATTGCAACCTTCCTGAGAGCAGGAAGGTCTAAGTGAATATCAACCTTTGCCCTCTGAAATTCTGTCCCTCAGATCCGGCAGTGACACCAACCTTGTGTGTGTACAGGTGTGAAAGTGTGCTACCTGCAATGAGCACTCCATCTGTCACCCTTCATATCCGTGAGGTCCCCAAATCCCTACACTGCCATCAGATGTGCCGAACTTGTTGACGGGTGCTTGGTTCCCTTAAGTTACTGTGAAGAATGTTGGCATTTCAGCTCCCAGTGGTTTTTCTTTAAGAAACCAAGAAATGTAAAATGATCGATTCTCCATTTGGCCACCTGCCCAGGAAGGTCGTATTCAGACAATTACAAAATGCCTCTTAGCTTTGCAAAAATGTCCTTTTGCTCCTCATAGACCATATGAGAAATTGAAGAAAAAAAAAATGTTTTCCTTAGTGGACTCTCTGAGGCCAGTGCATTTTCCTGTTTTAGAGAGTTTTCTCTTGGACTGTAGAGCTCTGAAAAGGGATTCCTATCATGGGAGGCCCTTAGCCTGTCTATCAGCAAAGCATCAACATTAGCATCACTACTCCTAACGTTGTATTTAATTTGCAATCTACACAGCACTTCTACATACCTGATTTTGTCTTTTGAGATAAATATTAACCATTCTGATTTGTAAATAAGAAGTTGGAGGTTTATAGAAGTTAAGATATCTACCCCAGAATCTTCAGTTAGTGTGAGAAAACCAGAGTTGAAACCCATACCCTGAATTCTTGTGTTAGGCAAGACATGGTGTAGCAGTTGTGTATATTCTGTCTTGTATTTGCGCTTAGTTTTATCTTGGTCCCACAAGAAGATTTCAGTAGTAAGCTACTACCGAGTAGCCACACATTATTGACTCCAAAATTAGTCAGCCTCAGAGACGTTGGGTGAATGTTGTGGTTAAAGCAATAAGAGAGTGATATCTTCCAAGGGCAGTGCCTGGAAAGCTGGTAGTGAGTTGAGGTCCTAAGAGATACAAACCCCCCCTGGAGAGATCAGGTGAGACCTGTGAATGAAGGAGCACAGGTGGCAAGCTGGAAGGAGTGGCTCACAGGGGGTGAGGCTCCTATGCCTAGCAGCAATGGGAAGAATTTCTACTCTTGGGAAGAATCTTTACTGGAACCCACAGAGAAGGATTGATAAGGAAGTCTCCCTCCCTCACCAAGCAAAAATACAGCTACTGCCAGAGGTGTAAATTAAGACCAAAAGAGTAGGAAGACATCTGTCCCTTTCCAGCTGATATTTTTCTCTTTCCCTCCAACTCTGTGTTTGTATCTTGTTTATTGGAGCTCAAGTGGAAGTCCAGGGGAAGGAAGTTCATGAGCCCAGAGAGCTTGGTTCAGAGGAATCAATCTCTGGCACTAAACAGGAGAGAAAGCAGTGTTTATATCCCTCCCTCGCCCCGTACACATACACCTTTAATGAAATTTAGAATGTGTATTTTCATTTTATGATTCCAAAGCTAATAACTGGTAGGGCTAAGAATGAAGACTCATTTTATCACATCGGTGTCGCAGAATATCATTCTAAGATCCTCAGCATGAATACATTCTGTGGCAATCACAGTCATGACATCATACGGCAGTCCCCATGCTGGAGGAGCAGGTACAAAGCCTTTTCATGCACTTCATCTGTCTGATTCTCACAACAGCTCCTGAGCTAGGCAAGGCTGCTGGTTATTCCTGCCAAGGATGCCTGACCCCTTTTCTCTGTATAAATTTCTCCATCGAGACATGACCTGTGACTTTTTGTGGGGAGCTCGTGGTAATCGTTTCTTGCATTGTCTTGCACATGGTATAGCCTAATAAAATAGATTGTCAGTATTAGTAATAACTTACTTCATATTCCCTGCATGCAGTAAGATAATACTAATGATAACTTACTGAGGGTGGCACTTATGCAATTCATTTAAGTGCCCTGGAACTCCTGGGAGGGAAAAACTGTGATTCTTCTCCTTTTACAGTCCTTTTTACTGCAGAATTTGAAAGCTGGTGCTTACACCAAGCTCTTTTCAGAAACAACCTGGCATATTTGTAGTAAGACATGCACCATTGCATGGTCATTTAAAAAAATAGTTATTTCTCAAAAGAGGCTCTTAGGTTTATAGTGGAAAAGACTCAGCCTTTAGAAGCGAAAAGATTTCTGATTAGATCCGACTTCTCTGATACATGCACTCCTTTAAGTTTGGGAAGGTCACCAATCTCTTGATCTTTGATTTGCTCAACTCTAAAAGGGAGAGAATCCATCGTTCCTGGGATTGTGGTAGGGTGAAATTGTGTGACATACCCTAGATTTCTAGCATAAACTAGGTACTCAGGAAAATCTCTGACCTCACCACAACTTGCAGTTTCCCAATGTGGCTTCACTCAGTCAGCTGTCCATGAGTAGAAACAAGTTCACATCTTCCTGATCCCCAACTGGAGCTGTCTGCCAGACCTCGCTCTGTTGTTTGTATGAACAATGAATCATTCTGTGAGGAGAGCTGATGTGTGCTGTCTGGTGGCAGGAGCTTCGTGGACTTCTTGCATTGTCTCAGAGCTTGACTCAGAGTTTATCTCAGAATCTATGTCCCTCAGAGAAAAGACTGTGCAGATACTCCTTTCTCTCATTTATTGCATAAAGCTGCCAAAAGCGGCCATGAGTGAAAATGATTTTGGAAGAGGCACACTGGCCATATTCTACTGGGGAGTTGTTTTTATGTTTTGAGATGCAGAGAGACAAATAGAGAGAGATATCTCATCCACTTGGTGACTACCAAAGGCTCACAGTGGCAAGGACTGCGCCAATCCAAAGCTAGGAACTGAGAAACTGATCTACGTCTCCCACATGGATGGCAAAAAACCAAAACAAAACAAAACAAAAACAGATATTTGAGCATCTTTTGCTGTCTCTCAGCGTCTGTATTGGCTGGAAGATAGAATTAGGAACTAGAGCCAGGACTGGAACCCAGGCACTGTAATTCTATAATGCAGGAAATGGGTATCTTAAGTCTCAGGCCAAGCACTCACCTACCAGGGAATACTTTGATAGCTACTTCATGGGAGCAGCAAGAAACAGGACCTTAGTGTCGGTTAGCACTAAAAGATATTGATGAATAAATAGAATTAAAAGCTACTTCTCTGAAAAAAAAATCTAAAATCTATGCATAGTGTATTCGTCACCTGCATAATCATCTTTGCAGAGCCTGTATAAACCAGGAAGTGAGGCCGTTTAGTGTCCTCAGGATTCTCTGAGTCAGGGATTATTGAGATGAAGACAGGGAAGCTGTTCTCCCCACCCCTGTCTGGGATGCTCTCCCTGAGGAATGAGTAAGGAAAGATGGAGAGGCTGTCTTTCCTTTGACACAGTTCACCTTATCCTTTCTGTTGGGAAGGTTTTCTTTCTCATGCATGCCACGTCATAAAATACCTGAGATGGGTTCATTTATAGAGTAGTGATTGATTTTCTCATGCTCTGAATGCTGGGAAGTTAAAAATAAGGTGCCGACAGAGTGAGTATCTGTGACGGCCTCTTCTGTCTCCTTTCCAAACTGCACTTTTCAGCCTCATTCCTCAGAGAGCACAGATGCTATGCACTCACATAGTCTAAGAACAGAAGGAGGAGAAGGCAAAGGAACTGGGTTCCTCAAGTGGCCTCAGGGCTATAATCCCATCGATGGGGTTTCCTTCAGCCAGCTCCTTAATACTGTCACCATAGAGGTATATGACAATATGTAAATCTGGGGGATGCAGTCAGACCCTAGCACTGAGCTCCTTATTGTTTTGTCTTTATATGATGGCAGATGTTAGTTACTTTATTCCAAAACCAAGCAACAACACATATTTTGAAGTCAAGTTGCTCTAGGCTCAGCATCTGGCTTGTTTGCTTGGTTTCCACCTAAAGTAAGGAAAACATTTTCCCTTAGAGTTGTTGCTTGATGCTAGACTGTTCTTGGGGCTGGGCACATATAATGAGTATGGAAAGTGCCACAAGGAACAGTGAAGGAAGAAAGAGGGGACATAAGCGGGATGTAAAGAATACACAATGACGGTATGTTGGGTAAAAGGATAAGAAAGCATGACCATGGACAGAAATGGAAAGTATACTGAAATTCTAACAGCATAGTTGAGTTATTTCCTGTGTTCCTTCAAAGTATACCACAGGCATTCAAGGAAAACAGCATGTTGAGGCATCTCAAATGTATTGAATAAGAGGGGGGCAAAGTCTCAAGAAACAGAGGATTTTGCATTGGATTTGAGTTACTCTCGAAGCATGTCATTGGAGTTAATGTCAGTGATGAGTGGCTACCCTGAGGATCTGCAAGAGAAGCACTGAGCAGGGGCAATGGAGGGTGTGCTCTTGGCTCCCCAGCATGAAGACATAATGTAAAGAAGACTTGCTCCCAGCGCCATGAGCTCACTTGTGCCCTCAATGTCTTCATCAAATCTCTGTGTCTTCTTAGAACTGCTCTCTGTTTTTCCGAATATGTTTTTATTCTTTGTCAGGTGAGAGGCTTATTCAGTCATTTTTAAAGTTTCTTCCAGATTTCATATTCTATGCAGCAGTGAGTGGGCTTGGGTGTGAATGGATGACTTGTGAGGCACTGAATTTCTTACTAGCACTGTCCAAACAGGAACCGGGCCACAAACTTTAATGGACATTCATTCATTTACTAGAAGAAATTAATTTTTATTAGCATTCGGTATAGAGTGCTAGGTTCTTCAAATAAATGTTCATCTAATTCTTTCATCCATGCAAAATATTTACACTTGGAGAAAGGAAACTAAGTACCAGTTTAAATATTTTTTTTCCAGAAGTATGACATATGCTAATTACACAGAATGCTTCCAGTACCCCCAAATAAGGATAATAAGATGACCATGAGATTATATGGCAGGGCCAGTGTTGTGGCACTGCAAGTAGGCCTATGACATTGGCATTGCATGTGGGTGCTTGTTCAAGTTCCAGATGCTCCATCTTCAATCCAGTTACTTGCTATTGTTATAGGAGAAAACAGTGGAGTGTGGGGTGGAGGCAGGATAAGGAGAACGGAAGGAGAAATCCCCTGAGCCTAAGGAACTGTGTGATGAAAAAGAAAAATTAACAAAGGATGATCTAGGTTTTAGGGCCCACATGCATCCAAATGGGATTCCTGGATGAAGCCTCTGGCTCCTGTGGTCCCGGCCTAGCCCCTGCATCGTGGTTATTTGGAGATTGAACTAAGCAACCAAAGATGCCCCTCACTCCATCTCTTCCTCTCTCTCTGTAAATGCTTTTTTAAATAAAATATGTAAATCTTAAAAACGAAATAAAAGCACATGTGCCTTCTTTTGCCTCTGATCATACGTGCTGTTTCTAAGACCAGCTGTTCCCAAAATACTGAAATCATAGCATATTCAAAACAGCATGAATTAATTTATTTGCTGGAAATATGAGGTCACTACCACATTAGACTTTTCTGACAGGCCAGTGCCACAAGTGTTGAGAACTGGCTTCATCTTGCCAGCTGGGGCCCCCGGGACAAACCTGGGGAGGCTGGAGCAGCCCTTGTGTGCGGAGTCTTGAAATATCTTGACTCTTTGATTACTCTTTAGACTCATGCCCCTGAGCACGGAGCCTTGTTTATAAAGTAAGTATATTTACTCTTGAATTGCATCAAGCTTTGGGAGAGTGCTGTGTCTACACGTCCATTGTTCATTAAGCAGTTATCCTGTCCTCCAGAGACTGTCCTATGCATTTGGGATAAAGCAGTGAGCAAAGTACCTGCCCCACCTATTATGAAGTTTGCATACTCTTTAATGCATATACTTATATTTGTGGTATAAAAAGCTTGGAAAAATGGGCAAACAGGTACCTTGATAAAAGCAATGCATTTGATAGGTATGTTTCCTAAAAACATAAGAATGACAAGGGGAAATGCAATGGAAAACCTATATTTCTTTGGATCAAAATTGCAAACAATAAGCATACCATAATGACCACATTTCTTCAAAATTAAAATAAATTAAAATATATGATGCAGCATTAGCTTTCATTTTTTATTATTGCTTATTCTAAAATTGATTCAAATGAAAACGATTGCCTGAAATATAAACATAGCCCCATATTTATGAATCTACACGGTGATTCACTTCATTTAAAAAAATCAAAGCTGCGTGGCCTAGCGGCTAAAAAGTTCTCGCCTTGAACATGCCAGGATCCCCTATGGACACTGGTTCTAATCCCAGCTGCTCCACTTCCCATCCAGCTCCCTGCTTGTGGCGCAGGAAAGCAGTTGAGGATGGGCCTAAGCCTTGGGACCCTGCACCCGTGTGGAAGACCCAGAAGAGATTCCTGGTTCTTGCCTTCAGATCGGCACAGCACCGGTCGTTGTGCTCACTTGGGGAGTGAATCATCAGACGGAAGGTCTTTCTCTCTGTCTCTCCTCCTCTCTGTATATCTGGCTTTGTAATAAAAGTAAATAAATCTTTTAAAAAAAATCAAAGCCATACCAAATGGAGATATTAATCTGAGGCTTATATTGTGTTTTTCTTGGTATCCCCAACTCTGATCCAGGTGTTTAGACACAAAACCAGGTATCTAGGCAAAAATTTATCAAAGCATTTGATAAATTTTAGTTATTCATGTGAGTACATGTTGTAATACCTGTTTATGCGGTGTTAGAATGAGTAGGATAAACAGCATCAAAAACATCCAGACAAGGCAACTCACTGTGTAGGGGTGTAGAGGAGAAGGGGAAGAAGTGTGTGTGATTGGTGGCATTGCTTGATGGTATCTGACGTGCCTTTGGGAGCAGAGGGAATTTTCAAATGAAAACACTGAAGTAAAAACCATGTCCTTCCTTTCAACAGGGCGTTGTTGCAGGCGCTCGTTCCAAAGGAGAACACAAACAGAAAATCTTTTTAACCATCTCCTTTGGAGGAATCAAAATCTTTGATGAGAAGACAGGGGTAAGTAAAAGGATCACGTGGCATTGTGAAATGGAATCCATTGACAGGCGTGCCCTTAAAAGCCTCTAGTCTCTGGGCACGAATATCAAACTAGCATAAAAATACATAAAGCAACTGACAAATTTGATCAGCTGTGATCGTCCATCAAAGAGGATCTCTTTGCTGACTTGGCCACAGTGTGACTGCACTGTGATTCTTGCAGTGTAATTGTAATAAAAATGTCATGCCATCCTGATAATCTAATGGGAGATTGATGAGCTTTGAAGAGCAGTGGGGTGATGTGACAGTTTGAGTTAAATTTCTTGTGTGTTGGCAACTTTAATGTCATGTGTCCTAGAGGGAGATGTTTGTAGATCTTTTAACTCTGTCTAAGCATCCAGATTCTCTTGAGTTTAACCTGTAGCACCTTGCAATTGCTGAACTCAAAGAGAATAGAATTCCGTCTTTAAAAAGATCTGTTGCTATATAGCTGAAAAATGTAAGGGCTGATAAGTTTGTTGTATCCACTAAAGAAACAGTTTGTTTTCCATCAACCTCATAACTGCAATGAATCCCCAAAGTCATCCCCAGCGTTCACTGACATCATTGGTACTTTCGTCAATGGGAAGGGAAAACAAGAAAATATTTGGTGATTTGTGTCAACAGAGCAAGAATCAAATGATGTGTTTTTGCTTTATCATTCACCATGTTGCACCTCGACACTTACCAACTCCTTTGAATGTCACAAAGGTGACCAATCCAGCACTTGAGTTTGGTCATTTTGCATTAGTTATAAATGAGTAATAATAATGCAGTTATTTGTACACTCATAAATATAACAATATTGTTCACAATAGCCAAAAGGTGGAAGCAATCCAGTTATCTGCTGATGTATAAACAGATGAATAAAATGTAGTTTTTGCATACAGTACAATACTATGGAGGCCTGGAAAAATGATCTTCTGAAATGTGTTACAGTATGGTTGATCATTGAAGATATTATGCCAAGTGGAATGAGCCAGATAAAAAAAGATAAATACTGTGGGATTCCGCTTAAATGAGGTACCTGGAAAAATCAGAATCAAGGAAACAAACTAGAATGTTTGTTATAGGGAGTAGCAAGAAGGAAACTTGCAGATTTCTGCTTAATGGGCATAGAGTTTTTGTATAGGAAGATAAAAATGCTGTGAGGATGGTGGCAAAAAAAGATAAATATACTAATGCCACTGAATGTACACTTAACGGTAACTAAAATGACAGGTGATGTTCTATAGATCACCAAATTGAATATAATAACCAGTAATAGCAACTCCTGATGGTTGAGTACCTCCTGTCTATGAGGGGCATGGCTTCAATTTACATGTATTATTCAGTGTCATCCAAAAGAATAATAGTAACTTTAGCAAATGTGTGTTATATATCCATCATTGTTGTAAGTACCAGATCATTGAAATCTCATGGTAGCTCTGAAAGACACATTCTGTTATCATCCCCACTTTATAGATGAAGATTTAGACATAAAAATGCATGTAACTTGCTGATTGTAAGTGGTGGCAGAGACAAATCAGAATGTAGGCAATCCAGAGGGTCACTTAGCTCTCCAGAGAAGTGGCCATCCCAAGTTAACACTATATTTTATACTCTCTTATTAGACAGTCAGATGTTGCTATAGCGTGGGACACAAGAAATTCTCATGAACAGCACTCGTTGTGCTCACAAATCCTAGAGATGAGAGCCATAGCATGCCACATGGCAGAAACACCAGCTTCCTTAGGGCATGAAACTCAGGAGAAGGAGAGCCCTTGGCCAGAGCCTTCTTGTGCAGAGTGGGGGTGGCATGGAAAGGAAAAGGCAGGGAAGGGTGGACAGCTTAGGATTGGCTGGTCTGCCTGTAAGCTACAAACCCCTCTAACTTTGTGCTAATTTAAGACAGTGAAATACCATCTTCTCTGGTATGCAATCCATGGCTCCAGCATGACTCTTTGGTATGTCTCAGTCTTGGCTAGTCTGAGCAAGGGCAGACTCTCCCCAGTCAGAAAGAATTTTTTAAGTTGTTAAATATCACAATACATAGAAAATTATATATATACACACACATATATATAATATTTACAGTAAACCCCATTGTATGAGGCATAGCTAGGGTTTCACATTAGAGTGATTATTTTTCTATAGTTTGAAAGAAGGTGGCCCTACCTAGGGATGGCTTGGGAGAAGAGGGTTTAGAAGGCCATTGTCAGGAAGGGTGCTTGGAGTCAGCTGATGAAGAGTCTACTGTGAGCCTCGCTGCCTCCATAAAAACATGGTTTCAGAAACCATGGGACTTCCCTTTTCCTAGGGAAAAGGACTATGCTCATTTTGACACTATATTTTTCAAGGAATTTGGCAGATTAAAACATATGCTGAAGAAGAACACCAGGGCAGTTGGGGAACTAGGCACTATCCTGAGCCAGGAATTGTAGTCAGAGACAGGGACTGGGCATCAAACAGGAGACAGAGAACTTTAGACTACTATCAACTTGGAGAACATTAGTGGTCCTTTAGCATTCTTTACGGGCACAAATTGATGTGACTCAAGCCTCAGATATGCTTTCACAATGATTTATATGCTCCAGTGATCTCTTTAAATTCCACTCCCAACCATCGCCATGAAAACTGGCATGAAGGAACCGGGAACAGGGGCAGCAGCATGGGGCATCTGACATTTTATTCCGCTCAGGGATCATGTTTTGAACCCTGCAGTTTCAGCATGTGCCTCACCATCAAGTAGGTCAAACCGAGATAATTAAAATCACCATTTTTTTTAACTAATGAGGACAGGTGAGTTTACATTTTTATCTCCTTACTCAGAGGTGGTTAACCTACCCCCAGAAAGATTTCAGCAAATCTTGTAGCATTGTTTTAATCCTTCAGCTGGACACAGGGTCATCATTTTAGCCCAAAGTCCTTTGGCCTTTTGGAGAAAATGTTAAGATTCCTCATAAAGAAACGGGAAGAAGAAAAAAGAAAAAAAACAAACAAACAGAGCTTCATGTAAATGTGTGGTTTATTGGATTCCAGTTCTGTATAATCTCTTCATGTGCTTCAACTCAAGTCCAGAAAAAGGGATAAACTTTCTGAGCATGGTTCCGTCCAAGGTTGAGATAATAAGCAGCAGGGCACTTCATAGCTTAATGAATATCATAATGGATATCATAGCTCCATAGAGTGGTCTAGTAGAAGCAAATGGCTATTTCTATGTGGCCTCAAAAAATGGAGCCAGGACTGATGAATAGAAGTTTTTAGAAGGCATTTTCAGCTTTTTAGTAAGAAGCCAGCACTTTACACAAGGTAGATGGACTGCCCTCTGTGTGAACAGCTTCAGTCATTGGGATTGGTATTCCAGCAATGGCCTAACATGGGCTGATATTGAAGGGGAGCAAGTAGAGGATGAGATAAAGAACAAAGTCCAAGTTGATTCTGAAAACTAATTTTACCTTTCTGTTTCTTTCTTAAACCTGGGCCGATTGATGTGTTCTATGTGCAAAGCTTCCCTTGGTTTTGATGAGTAGGAATGGTTTACTAAACTTTTGTCAATGCCCAGCAGGGGAGTGAGCGCATTGTGCAGGGTGGAAGTGAAGTATTTTACTCTGAACATCAAAGAAATGGAAAACTGGGTCTTTGTCATTTGGAATGACAAATCTTCATTGTTTATCTTGTCTAAGTTATTTTTGCTTAAGCCTTACTGCACTTAAAAATAAAAAAAACAGACAAAGAAACATTTGAGGAAAGCAACAATAGCTAGAATTTTAAAATCCAAAAGGTGTCAAAGATGTTTTGATCCTAATTAAAGAGACCCTTTGCAGCACTTTGCACCCTGTCTTGAATTTCAAAGAACTCCTCGTCTCAATTTTAAGAGGAGTAATTTCTGTTTCATTATTAGCTGTTGCAGGGAATAAATCAATATTGAAAACTGTTCATTTTCTCAGATATTTAGATATCGCTACTCTATCAAAAAATATTGGTGAGAATGCAGAAATTTCACATAGCGTAGTTGTTAAAGACACTCCGATCCTAAATCTGAGTGATGGCCTTGAGTCCTGGCTTCTCTGTTTCTGACCCAGCTTTTTGGTAATGTGCACCATGGGAGGAAGTGTATGAGAGCTCAAGTATTTGAGCTCTACACGGGAGGCCTAGATTGAGAAACAAGCTCCTGTTTCATCTTGGATTTTTTTTTTTATGGCATCAGAGAGTGAATCAGTATATGGAAACTAAGTCAAATAAAAATGAATTTACATAATGAACTAAAATAGGGTGGAGTTACCTGATGCTGGTTTTTACACAAATGGTCCTGGGCAGATGGAATGCTGATAGGACAATCCACATATGGTAGGCAGTAGCACATTGGGTGCCTATTATATAACACAATACAGCTCTGTTTTCTGGGGATTCAAAGGTGAATAACATGTGATGCTGACCCAGGAGGCAGTCTGGGTCACAGTCTGGTGATGACACCAAGTCACATAGTAGAAACATATAAACAGGACACAAGTGTGTCAGATTTGTCTGTAAGCTCTGGAACCGTCACCTGACTAGCCTATAATATTCTAGGAAATTTCACAGCAGGGAACAATTCTGACTTAGCAATCAGTGTGTGAATTCGAGTGGATCAGGTACGTAATGGAAGAGCAAAGAATATTTCTGACTGCACAAATATCTAAAAGGAAAAGAAATATGTGTCCACTTATTCTTGCCTTAAGGACGTGTTTATTTTGTACCTGTGTTAACTGACAAATAAATAAGGCCCTACTTTGTGTTCATCAGTGTCATCCATTTAGTTAACATAGAGTAAGTGCTCGGTCATCTTGTGAAAATGACTTGATGAGTAAAAATCAGCAGAGTATATAGAATAACAAAGGTATTGTGTGTGTGCAGGAGATGAAGAGTAACCAAAGGGTCCAATCCTTTCCCATGTAATAAATGCGTAATTGTGTTTTAAATGCAGTGCCTATATATTTAAAGGATAACTTAATGTATTCTTC